GAGAGGGCGCTCCCGCCTGCCCCGCGGCGCCACGATGGGGCGCTGCCCCGAGAGGAGCTTTATGGAGGCTTCGAGGGGGCCCCGCAGGCCCGGAGCTGCTGCGGAGACACCGCGCGTCCGGCTCGAACCCAACGGCAGCGAGCTAGCGAGCTGGCTCCTGAGCTCCTGGCTCCTGAGCCGTCCATGTGCGTGGGAGGGCACGGGCCATCTGACCGCTAGCAGCACCCGCCAGCCCCCAGGTGGCGAGCAGGCCCCCCCCTCGGCCTGGTTTACCTGGTTGGAGCTGACCGGGGCGCTGCCGCGCGGCTGCAGCGGAAGGAGGCGGGCTGGCGCCTGCAGGCCCAGCGCCCCGGGTGGGGCTCGCGCTGGCCAGGGCCCCCGCAGGCAGCGGCTGGCCCCTCTTTAACAGCTGCTTCTGTTCTTGCTGGCGGAAGCGGGGAGGCACCTCGCGCGGCAGGTAGCGGGCGGCGGCGGGCTGCTGGCCACTGGCAGGGGCGCGCTTGCCATTGCTGCCGCCAGGGGGCGGGCCGGCGGGGGTGCTGGTGCTGGGGCCGGCGGGCTGGGGCGGGCTGCAGCAGGCCTTAGTAGGTTCTGGCACTGGAGGGAACAAGACGAGAAGAACCCAGAACTTCAGTGACACTTCCTTCAAAACCCGCCCGGACCAAGAAGTAAAGCAACATCTGGGGGAAACGCAGGGGGGCTGGAGACGGACTGGGCCGGGGGCCGGGACTCCGGTGACCTCGGCCAGGCTCCCATCGCAGAAAGGGGGTGAGTAAGGTCGTCAGAGCCGCAGCCCTCGCGTTCAAGTGGCCCGGCCTGGCGACTCGGTGGCTCGGTGCTAGGCAGGGAGGCTGAGGGCACAGGTCCCAGAAACTCACTTCCCGCAGCCCCCGGTGAGAAGGGCCAGGGCCCCGGGCCACACCGTGAGAGCCACTGGTCGTGGTCAGTGTCTCTCAGAACTCGGGTGCTCCACGTCGATGAGCTCACGCGCTTTTGCTGAGGGCGACCCAAGAACGCCGAAGCGGCCTTGGACTGTGTCGCACGCAGGTTTCACAGTAACGTACACGGAGAAAGAGCGTGGGGACTGCAGCGGGGCCAGCGGGCAGCGTCCCCTGCAGGGGAGAGTGTGCCTGCACGGCCACCTGGAAGCGGCGCACCGGCAGTGAAGGGACCGGCTGAGCTCGAAGCTGGGAGGGAAGAGCAGGCAAGGGCCCGGACGCAAGCCCCCAAGGCGAGAGGCGCCTCAGACATCACCCTGAGTGGAGGGCGCTGCGGGAGCTCGGGGGGTGACGCCCAGCCCTGCACCCCAGCAGCCAGCCCCGGCCTCTGCCAAGGAAAACGCTCTCCAGCCACAGACTGAGACACAGGGTCCGGGCGCAGCTCCCAGCAGCCACCTGGTCTAAGACCGGAAATGCAGCCTCCCGG